CTTAGTGAAAAAAGGCAAAGAAGGGGAAAAACTCCCAAACAATGACACTCTCTCTCCATACCTCCTCTCCACATCTGTGTCCACAGATCCAGATCCTCATCAATCTCAAGGTATGGGCCACACTGTACTTGTTAAAAACTTTTTAAATGTGTTTCTTATGTAAATTATATTATTTAACTCTGAACATATTTACTTTTAAATGTCTGTGTAATGTTTTGTATAAAAAGGCAAAGTTAGGATAAAAACTCGGTGGTCGAGAACGGATTAATCCATTTGCAGTTATTTTATGGGAAAATTTGATTCAGAACTTGACTGCATTGCATCTCAATGCTCCTTTTAGGACGGATTATCGCCGAGGTCCAGTGTTCTACTGTACAGCCCTATAAATCATGTTAGACTTGTGTATGTTAATTTGTATAATTAAGATAGTTCAATACATAACCCTTCAGAAACCATAACAGGAGTAATGGTTCCCTGAGGGAATGGGAAGCAAGGTTGTGGGGAAAGTGAGAAGGGGGAGCCAGGTGATAACACTGATGACTGCTATATCCCACTCAAAGGGAGTGAACAACAAAATTGTACATAAATGGATATATTGGATGGTGTAAGATGTGGTAAAAAAATAGAAATAAGGGTTGGGGTGGGGGGAAGAAGGGAGGGGATAAAGGGGAGCTGGTATCAAGGAGATCAAAAATAAAGAATATGTTTCGAAACTGACTATGGTAGCAATTGCACCATACTTCATGATGTGATTGAACTATGGAAGGTTATGATATCTGTAAGAGCTCCCAATAAAATAATTTAAAGAAAAAGAAGTGTATAGCCCTAGATGGAAGGCATGCTGAGAAACACGAACCACTGCCGGGCACTAAGCTGAGAAACCAGGGCTTTTTCCCAAAATTACAGCCTGAAAAAAAGCTATGTGATTTTTTATGTTTAATACAGTGTTCCATAATTGTGTGGCACTTGGTGAGGGTGGGGGTGGCACCTGGCATATCTGCATGCCTGTCACAGGGGAGCCCACATATGTAGTCATGACCACATGCTGCAGCCTGAGTTCACTGGCTGTACTTGTTCTAAAACCCCAGTCCAGACCCCCCCAAAGTTGCAGACAGGGGTCTGGGCCCCACTGCTACATGATGGTGGATGGAAGCTCAGCTTTCCACGAACCCCAGAGCTGAGACCCTCAAGTCCCCATCTTGCAGGTTTTGAGGTCAAACAGTGTGAAGTCGGCGCACAGGAGCCAGCAATGGGGTTGGAGGTGCAAGGTGGGGACTGGTGTCAAATGGCATGGGGGTGGTGTCTGCCCCACTCTGGCCTCACAAGGGGGAAAGAGAATCACTGTCAACATCCACCCAAGGCCAATGCCGGGAGGCAGAGGTCAGGCATGCTTCCACCCTCCAGCCTTTTGACCAATCCTGTCCTCCACGTGGCCTCTTCTTCTGCCCTGCACGGTTGCAGTGACTATACAGACTCACAGTGAACACTCAAGCTTTAGAGAGGTAACAGGTTCAGGAATGACTCGGGACATGGTTGTTGAAGCAGACAGCCTGTGCTCTGCTAAGCCAACAGGCCCCCTCCCCTGGTCCTTGGTCTCTCTGCCTGCCCCCCCAATTCACAGGTGGGGTGGCCTCCGTGGCGAGACACATGGTGGGTATGAGGCTGGGTGTTTTCAGATAATCATCTTCTTCTAAACACACCTGTCTCCCACTGCCTTCACTCCACTGCCCTGCCAGCCCAGGCCACCACCTCCTCGCTGGCCTCCAGCCTCCCGTGGCCCCTCTATCTCTCTACGCACAGCCCCTCCATCTCTCTCTACGCACAGCCCCCATCTCTCTCTGTGCCAGCCCCCACAACCGAATGGATCCAAGGAGGCAGTTGTGTAATCGAGGGGTCAAATAAAGAGACATCAGACAAGACAAAGGATGTAATGGCTCACCTCGGCCATGACTACAGGAGCCAGGTCTGCACACAGATTATATTTCCAACAACAGTTTAAATACTCTCAGGCATGCAAGCCCCCTAATTACAGGTAACCACATACAAAGTGGGCTGAACCCTACCCCTGGAAGTCCCTGAGTTCATTGAGAGAATAACACCAGTGCTGGGGGCACCTAAGGGAGCGACAGTCAGTAGCACATGTCTGCTCCT